CCGTTCGGACTGTTCCAGCCATTCGGGAGCCCCGGATGTTCGAGGATTACCGTAGATGTACGATCAAGATTCCTCTTTTTTTCTTTTTTTTCTTTTTTTTTGCGGGGGAGGGGGGAAGGAATTCCCCTGCTCGTAAAGTCTGCGCCTGACAAATTTCATTTCATTCTGACAAACAAACATTGTCAAAAAGAAAACTCAAAATCACATAAGAATGGGGGTGAAAGTTCCGTGAAACATATTCAGTAGCCCCCCATTTTTTTTCATTTTTTCTTTCAACTTTGCTCCCCGCCCCCCCCCCTCTTCTTTTTTTTGTCTTGCCTTATCAATCACTCAATCAATGGTACTTAAGCTGGGTGGAACTATATGGGGTAGGCGGTGCTATGTCAGTGAGAAGGCCCCTTGGTTATGGTAACTAAGTGGGCTCCGTTTTTAAAGTCAAAACCCCCATTCACTTGACTGCGACCGTGGCCCGACAATTGAGGAATGCAGGGGGGTGGGGTAGACGTGCAGGATGGGCAATCAAACACATGATCTGCCAACGGGCCTAGACCACAACCGTGTACCCCCTGGAATGACAGGTATAGAATCAAATAATTATGAAATGCGTGTAGGCAGTCAGTTTGATGATGATATCTCAAGTCATCGCCCCGCCTGAAATGGTCCATTGCCATGTATCTCTGCTATGTGACGCAAGCAGCCGTGGCCTTTCACTACCAGTGACTACCTGCCTACCACTATTTCTAAGGCTGTACAGGGGACCCCTGCAATCATAGCTACTTCACAATGAAGGGGTTGCATGTTGCCCCTTACCAGGGTTAGGACCCCGAGTGGGGGCCCAGCTAACACAAAGACCAAGCATTTTGCCAGAACCTGTGGCTCCATTCTCGTCTTCCCCCACCCGCATCGAGTAATAGCAGTTAGAAAATCATCATATTATGAAGAGAGGGAGGTGAGGAGTTTGAAGGCAATAGCAGACTTCATGTAGAATAAAAGCACAATGTGTGAGGCTTCACTCTCGTGAAGGACACAATGTGCATGAAACATAACCGTGTACGTAACACGTACGCCACAGCATCGCCCTTCTGCCTCGTCCACTCAGGCACTAGGGAAACACACAAGGAATTCTTCAAGGGGATAGGCTAATCTTCAAGAAATCGCCTTCAGAAACCGAGGGAAGTCCTTCAAGAAATCGCCTTCAGAAACCGAGGGAAGTCCTTCAAGAAATCGCCTTCAGAAACC